GGGGGCAGGGCACAGGCTCTGGGAGTGTGGGGGTCCCCCCTGGGGTCTCAGGCTGGAGTGAGAGTCTGTCTGGCTCTCTGCCCTTCCCCAGAAGAGCGGCAGAGGGGAAGCTCAGAGGTGCTCTGTTTTCATCTCTTGGAGCTTCTTTCAGAATTGGGCAGAGGCCCATGGGACGTCTTCTCAGGAGACTGTCCTGGAAGAAGGCAGGGCAGGTGACTGGCATCCCCCCCGAGAGCTGTGTAGGCCTTCCTGCCAACTCCAAGTTTCCCGGGGTTTGAGAGTTGGGTTGGGTTTGGTTTTGATGCCAGAGGTGCATGCACATGTGTAAGCAAGTGCCCTCCAGTAGGGCCTGGTCATGCCACAACCCTTTTCCTCCCGTCCCCACGCCTCGGGGTTCTGGGCACATGCACAGAAGTGTGAGGGTAGGACTGAGTGCAGCCCCCGACTAGTGCTCGATCTCTGAAGGGGCACTGGTGGAGTGTGTGTGACCAGCGCTCAGTCCCACGCAGTGCAGCCGGAGGCTGCGGGAGAGAAGCAGGCTTGTCGCACCTGCCCGGGGAGGTGGGTGCCAGGGACCCCGCCCATAGCGTACTTTCTAGCTCTCCTGATGACCCCGTGAAGATCAGCACTGTGATCCCACTTTGCAAATGAGGAAGCTGAGGGTCCCAGAGAGGCCATGGTTTGCCAGCATCGGCCATGCAGGAGGAGGGCCCTTGTCCCGCTCACCCCCGGGCCTGCCCCGTTCTGATGACCGCAGGTCCGAGCTGGCGAGTCCCTGATGAAGCTGGTGTCCGACCTCAAGCAGTTCCTGATCCTCAATGACTTCCCGTCAGTGAACGAGGCCATCGACCAGCGTAACCAGCAGTGGCGAGCCCTGCAGGAGGAGTGTGACCGGAAGCTCATCACCCTGCGTGACGAGGTGTCCATCGACCTGTACGAGCTTGAGGAGGAGCACTACTCGTCCAGGTACAAATAGGGCTGGGCTCCCCTGCAGAGAGGGGCCCCCGCCTGGCTGCAGGCAGGCCCTCCCGACCCCCGAGGTCCCTCTGCGGCCCTGGCCTTTCCTGGTCTCGGCAGTGAAGCCAGTGCCGAGTTCTGGGACCGAGCGCCTGACCCACAGACAGTGCATCGCCCTCCGCCGGGGCCCGGGCCCTTTGCACAGTGCCACGTGATGGAAAGCACAGAACTTCCACGAGTCGGGAGGCCGTGTCTGGAGAAGAGAGGGCACCTGGCTGGCATCCCCCGTGGGGCAGGGCAGAGCTGCCGCCTTTCTGAGAGCTCTCCTCGCGGGGCAGCGCTTCACAGGCCCGTGCAGCACCTCCCTCTTCTGAATTCAGTTTGAGACATTCCCGCCAAGGCTGGGCTAGTCCTGTTGATGCTCAGGCTATGCCCATGTCCAGGGTGCCAGTGCCTGCCCAGGGATGCAGTTCCACGTGGACGTTACCTGCACCCCCACGGTGTGGAGGCAGGGCGGTCCTGGGAGGGAGGCAGGCAAAGCCCGAGTGGAGAACTGCCTTGGAAGCCAGGCCCCAGGTACTTGGGTCTCCAGTTCCTGACCAGCCCAGCCATGTTCCTGGAGCTGGAGCCAAAGCGCTCCTAGAGACAGGCCCCAGGCTGGACCCTGGAAATGTCAAAAGACAAGGCTGGACATGGGGCTGCTTAGACACTGTTGAAGCTGGAGCGGCCCCAAGAACTCGGAGTCTATGTGTGACTAAGGCTGGGGACCGGAGACCTCTCACCTCTGCCCTGTTATCTTAGAAAGTCACATTCGGTCCGGCGGACAGGGAGCCTGTGCTCACCTCACGCCTTCTCCCTTTGCCCTTCCTCCCTGGGGGTGGGTTAAGAGCACTCCCTCCTACCCCGTGGAGCCACACCAAGGAGCCCTTCGTCAGGAGCCAGCACTAGAGTGGCTCTAGAGTTTCCCAAGAGAGCTGTCCCGGGCTGTCCCTGGTCCTGATCCCCGATGCTCATCAGCTCAGCGGACGTGTGGCAGCGAAGGGTCCTGGGTGATTCACGTCGCATGTTTGTCCCCAAGGGCCCCTGGATGAGCAGCTGTTTAATCTGGCCCCACCCCTAGAGGTGGAGGTCCAGAGAGAAAGGGGACCTGCCGAGGTCACAGTAGAACTAGGAGGGAACCCAGGAACCCTGGCATCCAGCTTGACATCCTCTCCAAGCGGGCTCTGTTCCACCCAGAGGGCCTTCCTGCGACCTGGTGTCCCCTCCCACAGGCACCCCAAACCCACTGTGCCACCCTGGATGCCCAGGAAGGAGACTAGCTCCACCCTGCCCACCCCAACCACACTGCACGTATAAATACTTGCTAATGGTCAGCACTGGGCTGAGGCAGCCCCTCCCTGCTGGTCCCCAAATGCAGGGTGCTGCGCCCACACTGCCCCGCTGCCACTCACCTCTCCCCCACACCAGCCGCCTGCTGCTTCCCTCTCGCCTGCCCACTGTCTGCTCGGCCTGCTCTTTCTAGTCCTGCCTCTTCCCCTCCACTATTCTTGGGGTGCCTCTCTGCCCAGGACAGTTCTGAGACAACACTGCCAAGGTCAGGTGCCAGGGAAGGGAGCCAGAGGCAGGGCCTGCCGCCAGAGAAAGCCAGGGCCCGTCCCACACCAGGCAGCCGGAGGAAAGGCCCAGGTTCCGTGTCAGCCATGACCACTGGCAAGCCACACCCTCTGCCTGCATTCTGGTCAAAGCCTCCCTGTTGCAGGCCAGGGGACTGAGTGCAGGAACCCCAGGACCTGTGCACACACAGCCAGAGCAGGGGAGCAGCGAGGTGCTGAAACCACACTCCTAACCTTTGCCCTGTTTGGGCTGAGCTCAGGCAAGGACAGAGCCAAAGATGGGGTCTCTGCCTTTGCGGAGTTCTTTGCCAAGTGTGATGTCCACGGTGAGCTGTGGATGTCGGTTCTTGCATTTGGTGGGATGGGGTGGGGTGGGGTGGAGGGCACAGGCGCTAGGCTGGCAGCTTTCTGTAGGAGCAGGGATGGGAGCCAGGTGGGGAGGTGGCCCAGCAGAGGCTACGATGACCCTTGTGGGAGTCAGGCAGGAAGGACACCTGGGTGGCTGTGGGGAGAGCCGGCCAAGGTCACACAGCCTGCAGGTGGCCGGTCTGGGGTGGGGTCTTCATTTAAGGATGGGACAGGCCTCCCCTAGCCAGGCCTGCTGGGGTGGAGGAGCCCCCGCAGGGTAGAGGGCAGGGCAGGTCTGCCGTGTCTCCGGTTTCTCAACGCTGCTTCTGTCTTGCTTCCCCTGGCGTCCTCTGCCTGCTCTGTCTCTCCCTGGGTTTCCGCTGGTGGAAAAGCACAAGTCTGTGCGAAGCTAATGACCTACCTCTGTGCGAAGCTTACTGGAGGCTGGACCCTGACACAGACTCCACCGATGGCCTCTCGGCCCCTCTGCTGGCAGCCCCAGAGCCTGGAGCAGGCCCCCTGCCTCCTGCAGCCCCTGGCCTCTCCCACACTGGTGGCCCAGGCCCCACTGAGCATGCCTGACCTTCGCAGGCTGTCCTCCCTGAGCCCCTGGTTTCTCAGAAAAGAAACCCAGTGCTCCCCTCAGCATGCTGCACAGCTTCACTTTCAGCCTTGGCTCCCATTTGGGGACCCCAGGACCCTGGACCCGCTGGCCTCTTTGAGAACCTCAGCCCACCTAGGACGTCAGGGAAGTCCTTCCCCCCCGCCCCGTTCCTGGGGGGCCATCACTCTTGCAGTCATGTCTCTATTAGCTGCCTTCTGGCCAGCCAGATGGGAGGGTTTCAGGATAGGGCTTTCCTGCTAGGGACCTAGCAATGGGGCGAGGGAAGGCGTGGCCTGAGCACACCATTTAAAATAGGGAGGGGCTGAGAATGGACGGTCTCCTGTCCTTAGGCCATCCTGCGTGTGGCCTCTGACCCTGAACCACAGACCACGGACACTGGCTGTTTTGTAATGGGACTGTTTAATAAAAACATCAGCACACTTTCGCATTGGTTCCTCTTCCTTCACCCCCGTGTCCAGGACCACCTTTGGCCTCCCAACAGCTGTCAAAGCCACAACTGCTGTGCTTGACAGACATGGCCTCCAGGCCAGCCCTCCCCACTGGTACCTAATGGGTCCTTAGTGTTTGGTGACTGAAAGGCGGCTGCCACGGCATGTCACACACCCATGCACCTGTACCTCTAACGGCATCCAGCCCTTGCCACCAACTCTCAGTGGTGCCATTAGAGGGTGCTGCAGTCCAGAGGACATGGGGAGCGAGACTGTGCCTGCAGTCGAGGAACTGAAATCAGGCCTTGAATCTGGGAACTCTAGACCCAGGGTGTCAGTGCCAGGCCTACCTTAGAGATGCAGAAACCAGGGACCAGCAGCTAACGTAATGGCTATGTCGCTGGACTCCCATGTAGTTGACCACAGTTCGCTTCCTGGACCCGGTGGCTTAAAACTCACGCTGGGTACATGTGCATGCATGCCCAAGATCCCGAGAGAATGGAGGAGAAGGGATTGCAGCGTGGCCATCTCCCCTGAGTGCGGGGTGATTTCTTACTTTCTGTCTCTCTGTCTCTCTCTGTCTGTCTGGCGAGCGCACGCGCCCTATCGCAAAAACCTCTCCCCCAAAAAAGAAATGCAGAAACCACAGGACAGAGCGAGGGCCTGCTGGGACTTCACTCCTTACCCTAAACGCTGCCATTATGGCGTATCTCCTTACCGGGAGGAAGGCCATCATACAATATGTAGACTGACAGCTCAGGACCCAGCCTCGGGGACAGGACACCAGCCAGCCCTTCACTACAGGCCCAGAGACCGCAGCCTAGCTGGAGGCACCAGCCAGGCAGGAGCCTGGGAATGTGACCCTTGGTTTCAGGAGTAGCCCAGGAAACCACCTCCTCTTGGAGGGACTTTTTCCACTGTTAAGATGCATAATGCACTTTTAACTGGAAAGAGTCCATACTTGGCCACTAAGGAAGACAAAGATGACAGCCTAAAAGGAACAGGTCCACCTTGGTGGCCGGGGCCTAGCCTGGTGGCACAGTGAGGTCCTGAACTGCAGTGCTGGCAGCCACATGGCAGAGGGCAGGCTCAAATCCCCTGCCCCAACCCAAAACTTAGGTGTGCTGCTGCCAGCGACGCAGATCTACCGGAGGGCTGGGGAATGGCACTCAGGATGCCACCCTGGGGATGCATCTTTCTCTTCCATTTTTCCACTCTATGGATTTTGGCACGTGCACACATCTGCCTGGAATGTTTTTCATGCCAGTAAATATCTGAATTGCAGAGGGCCATGTAAGATCCAGTCCCTCAACCCCGAGGCTGTAGGGCCGGCCCCCTGCTGTGTACTTTAGGTCAACTCTGGGTCTAAAATAGCCGTTATGTCGCACTGTTTAGGGAACACCCCGAGAAAGCCTGCACACGACCAGCAGAGATGCGCGTGGCAGGCCCGGCCCCGCAGTGTGCGTCAGCAAGCACATTAGTCTCCCGTGTCGGGCTGATCCGGATACCGGGGCTGACTGCACTTGGAAGGGAGAGCCCTCCGGATTTTCTTTAGGGTGGGTGTGGACAACAGCAAAGGAGCGCAGCTTGGACTGGCCCCAGTGCCCGGATGGAGAGAGCTGCCTCGGCTGGCCTGGGAGGAGCTGCAGTCCCCACCCTGAATACAGTAGGTGGCGAGGGGTGCTGGTCCTCTGAATGCGGCTCGGCGACGGCAGCGTGGTCCAGCCCGGAGCGTCCTCTCTCCGGGGCCGGCTCGGAACGGGTCGGGAGGAGCTCGAGCCCGTTTGCCGTCCCTGGCCGCAGCCTTGCAAGGAGCTTCCGGGGCTGTGCCCGCTCGCCGCCGATGAGCACTAGGCCCGCGCCACTCCTTGTGCCGGGCCCTGCGGGTGGGACCCGGAACCGAGACCGGCGCCCGACGGCCCACAAAGCTCTGCACCCCACTCCGCGCCTCTTCCGGCGGAACCAGGCCTGGCTAATCGAGCGCGGCGGCTCGGCGCTCGACTGGCGGCGCCTGCGCACGCGGTGGTTCCGGCCGGGGGCCC